CTGCTGAGCAGAGGTTGTTCTTAGTCCCTGTAATTGCTTTCTCTGTGGCATCTGCAGGGAGCAGGACAGGCAGCCAGGCAGGATCCAGCCACAGAAACGGATGGTGACCATCCTCTGCCTTTCTCAGCTGAACTAAGACCACCCTGCTGTTGGGGACACAGCAGGATCATTCCTACACACCAAGATCCTGCTATGATTCCCCAAACAGTGGCAAGGCTGCCTCACTGCCCACCTGGATCACTTCCACACCCTGAGACCTGCTGTGAGTCTTCCTTCTCCCAGGGCTGATCTGTGACTTCTCCCCCAGCCTATAGGTAGGGGTTGGAGAAGGGAGAGACATCACCAGCCCAGGGCAGCTGAGCTCTCATCCTGCCAGGAATTCCAGGACTGACCTGCACACACAGCAGGACGAGTGCATCCCTGCGGGGTGAGGCAGTCCCTGGGGAGGCTGCAGTCAGCTCCCCCAGGCACAGGAGGGATTTCAGGGTGTCCAGGCTGAAGTGTAGCTTGTTTGGTGCCATGTCACCTACAGCCCCTGCCCTGCTTGCTCCGTGCTGGCAGCAGAGAGCCTCTCTCTGTGGGCACTGACCTCAGGCCATGTGCCACACAGGCAATGCCCTGACCCCCCCACAGGTGCCTTTCCTGGCGCTCCTTGCAGGGGATGCCACTGCACAGTGGGCACTAGGGACAGCCTGAGGGCCAGAGCCTGTGCACATGGTGCTCAGACAGCTCATGTCCACCTAGAAATCTGCAGAACCACACAGAAAATGTTCACCGTGTCCTCCCCAGGAAGGGAACTGAATGAACCCTGAGGCGCCCTGACCCCCCCACAGGTGCCTTTCCTGGCGCTCCTTGCAGGGGATGCCACTGCACAGTGGGCACTAGGGACAGCCTGAGGGCCAGAGCCTGTGCACATGGTGCTCAGACAGCTCATGTCCACCTAGAAATCTGCAGAACCACACAGAAAATGTTCACCGTGTCCTCCCCAGGAAGGGAACTGAATGAACCCTGAGGCTGG